ATACAATCGAGTCGTACGGATTGGCTGCTCGAATTATTATTATTCTATCATATGTTAAATTACTCATATAATTATATACAAACAGCGAATGGCCCATTCCAAATGGCTTAAATTGGATCCAGTTACCTTATTTATATTCAGCTCAACGAGATCTTTCATTTGATGTCTACTTTAACCTTTAATTTTACTGCCAGAATTGGCCGCACTCTTTTTGTGTTGAATATCATATATGATGAATATTATATATGATAATAATAATATTATATTAGAAAAGAACAATTTTAAAATTGCTACATTTTGGAAATAAAAAATTATGTCGAAATGGACTAAAATGCATTTTAAAGCTTAAAAGTTGATTACTATATTACAATTTTGAGAAAACTAATATAATTGATACCTTTATATGGCATTAATGAAATTAAATAAAAAAATATGCTGCCGGTAATATAACACTTTAAATATCTTCAAAATTGTTTTTTGCTTTTTTTATGTCAGTTTTCTCAAAATTGACGTAATAATCAACTTTTACCAATAGATTCGTGTTTAACAAGCAAAACTACATTGGAAATGGCTATTCACATTAGTGTACCAAGAAAAAGATCAAATTTGGTCGGACAGTGTAATAAATCACTAATCGATAATAAAGTAAAAAAAATATAATAGATAAATGAATTTATCTATTATAATTTGAATTTTATATTGATTTTTAGTAGTAAAAAAAAATAAAGAAAATTGTTCCATAAATAGTAAAATATCTGTTAAGGATATAATATATAGAAAAGCAGACACTTTTTATATTTAGCAAGATTAGTGAGAATAGTCAGATTTCAATTTTATAATCATTTGCTTTACAATAAAATTATTTAAAAAGTTTATTAAAAATGTATGAAAAAAATACGAATTCAAAGTGGATGATAAAGCTAATATCTAAAATGATATTTTTTAGTTATATACAATAAAAAAACTTAAATTAGTTAAATGGCTTCTTATAATGTGCTAAAAATAACATTAATTTCGTGTTTGAAGTGAATCTGCTGTCACATACAATTTTAGACTAAACGCGAACCGCACATATGTAGGGTCACAATTGTGTACGATGATGAATTAAGGCCCATCAAACACAAAATTGTGTAGATTGCATTCAGCAACAAAAGCAGCTTTGCAACTAATGTAAAATTCTTTAATATAATTAGTCTTGCTTTTAATTCGTCATTGGATCTAAATGTAAATAAATTAATCATACTTATCTTACAACTGTTGTCTTACTGTATCTGTTGTACAGTTTTTTTTCTACTGAACGCAGTCTGAAAATTTTCACGATCCGTTCAAACTGTTTTCACTCTGTTTTAGCGATAAAAAAGATCACGTGATCAAATGTGACAGATTTCCTAACCTGAATATTTCTAAAGTCAATTTTAATAATTAATATCTTGGTTCGCGGAATAGAGCGATACGTTTTTCTGCCAGATTCATAAATTTTATATAAAAAAGCGTCGAACCTAATATTTTTATAATTTATCTAACATATTCAAAGCATTTATATAACAAAAATATAACACACTGGAAACGTTTATCTAATAAAAATATAATTATTATATAACAACTCATCTACATAGCAAATATTATATAACTGTTACATAATTTCTATTATTTATCTGAATAGGAAATTACAACTAACGAGAATGCAACATTTTGCATCCTCATTACATAACCTATTATATTCGGATTTATAAATGTTACATCAATGGTATACAACTTCATTTGTTGGGACGTTTTAAAATGATGTTTCAATATAATTTCATAAAATTAAATTTAGAATGTGTTTACTTAACAACGAAGATTGAATAATCATTGGTTAAAACATTGCATAATGGGCTCGATCACTGAAAAAGTGGCTAAAAGTCACATGTAATATCCATAATGATTTTCTACATACTTAAAGCTGAAAAATATTTAAATATCAAGACATTATGTAGATAAACATGGAAATAATGCGTAATTGAAACTGATAATTGTAAAAATTCGAATAAGTTTTGTATAAATGAAAATCATTATCTCTAATATAGTCTTAAAATTTGTAGCTTCTTTAGATGTTTTTTATTGAACATATGTACATAATTAAAAGATGCAATATAAATTCAATTAGTACCGCGATTAGCGTATAGAGTAATTAATATATGGGCTTACATTATATTTTCGTTATAATGCAAACTTTCGAAAGTTTTATCTTTTTTGATCCCATGAATTTTCGCATGAGTAAAGTATTATATGATTGTATGAGATGTATATTTAACTTCGACATGTTCAAATTTGCTCATATATAAATTTCAATTTCAAAGTTGAAAGTTTATAAAATTTATTACAACAATTATCAAAACAATAAAATTAAGAAAAATTCACCGATAATTAAAAGTCTACGCGGTAATTGATGCGTATAAAATTCAAATGTATTAATAATTAATTAAACATCCATATAATGTAATCAATTAAATATAATGTTTCTGAACATTTCGGTTCTATATTGGAAAACGTTCGGAAACATTGTTGTATTTGATTGATTACATTATATGTTTAATTAATTATTACGTTTGAATTTTATATATACCAATTATCGCGTGACTCCGACTCTTAATTGTCGGTGAATTTTTCTTAATTTTATTGTTTCAGTTATTCTAAATCATAAGAATCTTTAGTTCAACTATTGTTTTTTATCATAACAATTATATAATCGATTGTTTGACATAGCAAAATTATCAATCATTAAGTTGATTATCAAATTGAATTATCATATCTTTAAGTCGATACACTTTTCCTGTGATGTTCCCAGTCCTTTAACTCATTCAGATAACACAACAGTTAATGTCTTGCTTTACAAAAAGCTTCTATGAATGATGAAAGTCTCTATCTTTCGAGTTAAACTTTGAACCTAGGAAACAGAAAAAAATCGTTAAGGACCAGACCTAGTGAATACGATGGTCAATCGATTCGAACCGCAATTCGTGAATTTTTGTCATTTGGCGACGACTGTCGAAATGTGACTGTTGCTGGTACGTTATGATAATGGAACAGTACTTCCTTTTTCTTCAAATGCCATCGTTTTTTCGCAATTTCTGCCTTCAGCTTGTCAATTAGTGATGTGTAGTTTTTCCATGTTATTGTTTTATCTTTTCAAGATAGTCGATGAACACAATTCCATGACTGTCCTAAAAAGCTGTCGCCATCACCTTTTTCCGACTCATGAAACCGTCTTTAGAGCAAGTTCATCCTTCGTAATCTAACAATTTTGACTGTTCCTTCGTCTCAGGGGTGTGGATTCACGATTTATCAACAGTTATTAATCGGCGCAAAAATTTCGAATGCATTTTTGATCCACAGTGAGCAAGCACGACATCCAGTTACCGTGGTTAGTGCATACTTAATTTTTCGATTAATTATAAATACGATTTTTTGATATGCCCACAGTCTCTGCTGTCTGTCTAACCTTGATTCGACAGTTGTCCAATACTATTTGGTGAACTTTTTTGATGTTATCGATGGTGGTCGCAATTGTTAGCCGTTCCGAACGCTTATTATAATCCAAGCTGGTACGATCATGTTTAAATTCAGCTGCCAATCTTTTTATGGTAATAAATGATGGGGTAGAATCCCCGTAAATAGCGTCCAACTCGGCTTTAATTTGCGTGGGCGTATTGCCTTTCAAATGTAAGAATTTAATCACGGCACGATATTCGATTTTTTTTTATTTTTACGAAAACATATCGACTTGCACAAATGACTAGTTCAAACAACTGAACGTCAAAAATAGTTACTATTTTTACAGGTATCTTTTAAAGCATATACGATTGTAGTTCCAGAATGATTTTGACGAGTAATGTTATTTTTATGTTGAGACTCAGAACTTTTCAAACGATTTACGTACAGGCTGATCTCATACAATGAAATTTGGCTGCTACTAGAAATAATTATTAAAATGTTTTTTAATTTTTTGTTGACTCTCTGCGAAATTCGGAGTCACGAACTGGGTCATAGTCGCTGACGACTTTATGTTTTTTTGTTTTGATTGTTTTATTGTTTCTAATAAAAATAATAAAAACAACAATAAACAAAGAAATATAATCGTTAGCTATTACAGTTCAGTGACTGCGAATTCCATAGAGAATGGCAGCTCTACACAAAAAATTTAAAAAATTTTTCAATTTTTATTTTTAGTAGTTGCATGGCAAAATTTCATAATATAAACAGATCAACCTGTATATGCCTTTAATACAGGCATTTTAAATTTACTGTGATGTCAGAATCATCATGATCAGTCATCCCAGAAACCCTTACAAACCAACTGTTATGCATTTTAGATAATATTTTAAAATTTAAGTCCGCCAATATTGAATCAGCCATTTTTAATTAATTCTTTTTAATGTTAAAATCGGGATTAGCGATTCTTAGAAACCAATTATTATGTGTTTCAGACAATATTTTTAAATTAAAATTCGCTATTATTAGATCCGCCATTTTTTAATTCTTAATTCTGAGATCAGAATCGTGTTCAGCAACTCGAAATATTATAAATACAGCTTTTTGTAATACATCTTTGACTCTTTTGACCACTTTTTCGGCGATCGATCCCACTGAACAGACAATGTTTCATTTCATATTGGAAATAGAGACTCAATATTTGAACTCGAAATTAAATTCTGTATGTATATTATCTTTAGCGAACAAATTTAAAAGAACTGTAACCATACGTTAATAGATTATCATTATTTTAACTTTAAATTATTGTATGTTTAATTATTGCTGAAGAAGGACCTGTGGTTTTCAAACATTCTTGTTTTTATAATAAATGTGCTAAATTTTATTTCTTTTTTGAAATATTATTTTATTAATTATAAAGTTAATTTAGTTACAGTGCAAATTGCAAATTTAGTAATAAGATTATTAAATAATCATGAATAATTTTATAAGTTTTGATTTTAACTTTATATTAATACTTGTATTACCAGGTGAACATCGCACATGCAATTTGGCCGGAAACATTCGCAATAGCTGCGAGAGAATGCGAATTTCCAGTTTAGGAGGAATCAATGATCATACCGATAATATGGATAATCCTTCTTCACGAGAAGACATTTCTGAAATGTACGTATCTAGATAATTGTACATTTATTTCTATATATTTCTATATATTTTTATATATTTCTATATATTTCTATATGCTTTATGTATATTTTTGCGGAAATTTTAATGATTCGTCTATATTTTCTATATTTTAGTTTATTAAAATAATGAAGTGTAGTATTATAATGTCTTCAAAATTCGATTTTATTTATATCTTATTATTTTATTTCGATTTTATTTATATTTTATTATTTTATTTTTTGTTTTAACTTTATACTATTTTAACTTTATACTATTTTAACTTTAAATTTTAATTTTTATAAATCTGTCTAGTTGGGGGATTTCGCAAATCATAGAAAAAGTCGTCTCGGTCAAATTGACTGAAACTTTTGTAGATTATAAGATGTTGATCAACAATTGTTTTAAACAGTATCACAAAAATGGACCAATGGTTTTGTTGTAACATTGTTTGAAAATTGCTATTTAGAGACTAATCAAAAAATATCTTTATCTGCTGAATTATTCATTTCTTCGTAATTATACACTAATAATTAGCATACGGATGTTCGGATCTCGAGGCGCGCGCGAAAATTCGCCATGTGCAAGTGAGTTGGATGCTTGTTGAAATGAGATAGCAACATTTCTCGAGGAAATTCGAAGCTCGCCGACTGCACTCGATCTAATCGAATATATTAGGTGTAGTAAAAAGAAATCCATTATTTTTACATGAAATTGAAAAATAATGGATTTCTTTTTACTACACCTAATATTTATCTCGGATGGCACACGGTTCAATGTAAACAGAGCGTGAAGATTTTTCTGTATTTTTTTCTGTACTTTTATGTATTGATTTGAAATGACTTGAGAACATTTTCTTAAAAATCTAGAGAAAATCTAGAGAAAAAATTGGCCTCAATTGAATTTGACAAAAATATGATGTTTTTACAAAATCGAACCGGCTTTATTGAAAGTGTTATTCTACCTACTTGTAAAGAAGAAAATGACTAAATTTTATGATAATTTATTTGATAAATTATGGTAAATTAGTAATTTTTGGTAAAATGGTAATTTTAAAAAAAATGTAAAAGCATTTAATTTTTAGTTGTTAAATTTAAAACGCTTTATTTAACTCATATTTTCATTTTATATTACATATTGATGTACAATATATTTAGTGTATATTGTATATAATATAATATATATTGTAATACAATATATATTGTATACCAATGTGTAATATTAATATGTGGTATTATTTTTTTTAATTATTATATATTGAATATATGATAATTAAAAGACTAGATACATAGTTTAAGTATTTAGTCTAAACTAAAGAAATTTTAAATTAATTTTTTTTATTAGAATTCTGAAAAAAATGTTACAAGTAAACTATTTTGTATATTATTTTAATTTTTTTAATTTGTATTTTTATATTTTTTCTTTACAATTTAATTTATAAAGTTTTCATTTATTTGCTTGCTGTTTTAGCGACTAGACTATTAAAGTTTTTATTAAAGTAAAAACAAAGTAAAAACAATTCTTTTTAGTCCTTTTACTCGTGACCGAGCATGGTGACGTCTCTCATATGCCTATGATGCGCATGCTGGTTGTACATAGTCATATGGGATCTACATTTTTTAACGTCGATTCCGAACAACGAAATTTTGTTAGAGAAGCGTTCTAGCAAAGATACTTTCGGTGAGTTGCTACTTCTTTCCGAGAAGAGATACGATCGTATAAAAATATTTTTGAGCCTACCGGGAATTTCGAACCCGGGATCTTTAACATAGCAGACCAGTGCGCTATCTTCGCCACGCTCGCCCTCAAAGACACAATTATATATCAAAAATAAAATAATCTTTCTGTAATTGCATTACTGCCGGAGTATCTAAATAGAAATATATTTTTTTATTTATTATCTTCCAGGTTGATTTACAATCTGTCCTGTTTTAGGACAATAAGTAAGTAAATTTTTATGAAGCTATACAGTGACTTGTAGATATTGCTCCAATGGCCAATATTCTTAATATACTAATTAAGTTATTAAAAATTATAGAACTTATAAAATACTAGATTTTTGCAATCTAAATATGACTTCACTTTTAATTTGTAAGTTGATGACTTTTTATTGACAATTAACTAATGATTAAGTGATTAACGATTATTGATTTAGTTAATTGTAGGCAATGGTTAATTGGTGACTAATTAAATTTTGTTTTAAAGTCAATAAATTTAAATCATTTTAATTTACCGTTTTTGTCTGTATTTTCACTAAGAAGTTTTGCTGCAAATTCGTTTGATGAGTGCTTCCTTATGCTATATTTCATATTATAATTTTTAATTTTCTTCTTTATCTTCATTTATTGAGATCTTTTTGTATTACTTTGTTAGGAACAAATCATGGAGTTAACTATTCTCAAGGTCCTCAAGACTTTCGATTGAAACCGTTGCAAGATTTTGATGTTTGATGTACTAAAGATGAATATCGTATGTCCACATCAGCAGTATAGCTTCAGTTTAGCTTTGTAAAGCAGAATTTTGTTTTCTAGTGAAAGCTTAGACTTGCGTTCTAAAACCCAGTACATTTTTTGCAACTTCAGCTCTAGTTTCCTCTTCATCCAGACATATTTTTTTCAAGTTAAACGTCAGTCGCGATAGATATTCCTAGTATTTTACGTTATCCTTTTGTGATAAAACTTCATTATATTTTAAGTTATCAGTGGACAGGTCCTTTTTTGTAGTAAAAGTGACACATGCGTGAATTTTGACTTGTTTATTCTGATTCTCCATTTCTTTAATCAAGACTGGATTTTGCATAGAGATTTTTGCAATCTCTCTGAAGCAAAAACGGCATTTTTGTGAGATGTTAGTATTGCTGTATCACTGGCAAATGTAGAATCTTTTGTTGCAGGTAGAACAGATGTAAATAATAAATAAAGAGTAGATCCGAGGACATTTTCTTGAGGTACTCCTTAATAGATTGTAAATCCGTAAATATATCATTGTGTTTAATCAGAAAGTGTCTTAAGTCTGTCACTTAAGTTTGACTTTAATAAATTATAATAACTACGGGACAGATATTGTTTAATTTTAGTAGAGTAGGTCAATATGCCACACTTTGTCAAAAGCTTGAGTTACGTCAAGAAAGACAGCTGAGCAAAATTCCTTTTCTTCTATACTATTGTTCATTGTTTTTACGACTCTGTGGACTTTGTGCTCGATTGTCGAATGCTCTCAAAATCCAAACTGATATTTTGGAAGTTTGCCTCTTGATTTTAATCTTTTTAGAAATAATTTTTAACAAACACTTTAGATAATATTGGTAATAGATTGATTGGCCTATTGGATGCAATTTCCACTGAATCTTTTCCAGGCTTAGGTAGTAATATAATTTATGTCACTTTCCATATACTTGGTACATAGTTAAACCTCAAAATAGCATTGAAAAAGATAGTATTAATTACCCTGAAAGCTTTTTCTGGAAGTTCTTGTAACACTTTCTTTTCCATTTATTAAATCAAATTCAAGTGCTTTTTCAGATGTTTTTGCTTTATCAATTTCGCTTCTTGCGCAAACATTTAATAATCTAATTGATAGAATTGATTGTTGCTTTATTTTTCTTGTAGTTTTCCACAGTAAATAGTCGGTGGCTTATGTAGCTGAGAGATTTTTAAGGTATTTTTTTTGTACAGCTGCATTTTTTCCTTATGAAGCAGTATTTTCAAATCTTTCATGCCTTGTTCAACTTGGCTTTGTCTTTAATCGAGCGCATATACTGCCATTGTTTTCTAATTTTGCGTTTCTTTTTTTTGATTTTAACATTGGATGAACAATGTTGTGTATTGTTTTGAGATTTTGTTATTGGCGTAGATTTCTATGCTGCTTTTTGTATTAGTTTGGTGAATTTTTCTGTAGCTTCTTCTAATTCTAGCAGATTTAATAAAGATTTAATAAAGATTTTGCAGTTCCTCATTTGATATATTTTTTAAAATGTTCCCAATTTGTTCTTTCATTGTTAAGATAGGGTAATTCGTTTTTTAATTTTAATTTTATTGAGGATAACGTTACTAACAGCAGAGAGTGATAATCAAATGATAGTTCAAAATACTCAACAATCTCGCGAGGTAGTTGCTGATTATCCCTTTAGTAACACAAAAGTTTATGCAGTCTGGAGTTTTTCTTCAGTCAGTATGTAGATTCAGGTCAGTAGATTGTCCCGTTGAAAGATGCTGCAAATTATTTTTTAGCATGGTTTCGTACAGTTGTTTATCTTCGGCATCTTCTCAATCTTGAGCCCTAATAGGGATGTTTGACGTTACAATCACCCCCGGCCAAAAATCTCTGATCCAGAGTGTTGAAAAAGTCTTCAAACTGGTCCTGCGTTATTGAATGAAATTTAGAAGAACAAGTATAGTACAGCCGTGTAAATGGTCCTATTCAATCTTCTATGACTACTGGTAGTCATTACTTGAAAGTAATCCTTGTCATATTTTGTACTTTTGTGATGTTTAATTTTTCTTTTAATTATTATGGCTGTTTTGCCATGAGCAGTTTCATCCGGGTGTTGAGTAACATAAGTTATGTAATTCTGAATTTTTAAATGATTGCGATTAGTGAAATGCGATTCAGATATAAGCATTATGTCTATATTTTTGTTTTCTAAAAATATTTGAATTCTTGAGCATGTTGCGTCAAGCCGTGTATCGATTTTTAGGTAAGCCATTATATTTTGGCTATTATGACTGCTAAGACATTGAATATAGAATTCATCTTTGTTAATAATTGTACGATTATTTTTTCTAGTTTGTTTAAGTATTTATTTATTTATTGGACCCTACCGATATCGATAGTTTTTTGATGACTTTGAGAGATTTTTCTAGCTTTTTTTTAGCTTTTTTTATATGATATAAATGGTTGCACTACATTGTTCATCTGGATTGTTTTGTTTGTTGAGTTTTTATTCTGTGATGTTGATAGTGTTTCCTTTATATTTTTACTTCTTAATGCGGGGAACATTTTTT